ACGAACTCAGAGCCGAAGTCTCTGCTTGTTGGCGCCAAAATGTTTATGAATGAAAAGCTCTGACCGAGGAATTTCTTTGGCTGCACACAAAACGTGCTTTTACTATGAAAAGCTTCAGTGACCCATTCTTTAGTTTCTAGTGTAGAATTGTTGTCACGAAAGTGCTTTATTGGCTTGTTTAGGACAGTTGAGGTTAGCGACATTAGCGACTCTTGAGTTGGTTGTACATATACAAATATGTAGTTGTGTTTGTGTGATCGTAATACGAGTGTATTTTATTGTGGTCAAAAGAAGAAATTTGCATTATTTTGTGCAGTAATAAATTAAGTTATGACAAAAGTCGACGACATATTGGACGGAGCCCTTAAATCTTTCACTTCGAGTTTAATGACCATCTCAATTTTTTAATATAAACCCCACTTATAGTATGATGCGGTGTCGTTACCTCGCTTAACATGAAATATTTTATCTCTAAGTATGTGTTTGCTGTGCCACATGGAAAAGGTAATGCAGAAAGTATGTAGCTAGCATTACACCGTTAATACCCGAGGAAACCATACTACAATAGTTGGTTATTTGTATTATCGGTCCTCCAGCCAGGTAGTATTATCAATATCTAGTACGTCACGCCTGAGTTTCATTCTCAGTTATGCTCTGTTGAAATGTGCAAAATGAAGTTAGGCTCGCGGTTCGAGTTTCGCTACAAGCAAATTCTTCATTTTCTGTGAATTGATTTACGGCTGAGTTTCATTTCATAATAACCTCTGTTGATATCGTTGAAGATAGAGAGATTTCAACATGCAATAAACTGGTATACAACTAGTATGAAGCTGATACATAGTTGAGCAGTTGACATCGCAGTTCTTAGGACATCGCCGTGTTAAAAATACGAGTTATTTACAAAGACAATAGATAAAAAATTAACTAGTTAGAGCAATGCAAATGCAGAGCAGTTGAATTCTAGTTGACAACTAGTATTTTTCCCAGCAAGGACCTTACATTATACAGGGTATGACAATAAGACTCATTTATATTATTATTATTATTTTGATACTTAAAGAAAAATGGTATGATGTTTATTGCAATGTAAAGAGGAAAATATGTTATTAATAATAGAAAACGATATCAGTCGAAAGGCCGCCACGGCTACGGTTACAGGACCATATCCTTTTTATGAAACTATCCATCCATCGAGATCTCGAATCGACGTTTATCTTTTGACGTAGGCCTTAACTTTCACGTGACCCCAAAATAATAAGTCGCAGGATGTTAAATCACAAGATCACGGTGACAGATTACGATCACCTCTCTGAGAGATAACACAGTCCGCAAACTTTTCCCTCAAATTATCGATGGTTTCGTTGATTGTGTGGAATGTAGCGCCGTTTGGTTGATAGTAAACGTTGTCTAGATCAATATCATCCAATTCAGGCTATAAAAATCAAGTTGCATCGCAACTGATGCTCCAGTCTGATTTTCAAAAGTCCAAATACACCGGGAGGCTCTTCAACAATGAATCTTGGGTTATCCAAGTTCCAGGTGCAACAGTTTTGCTTATTAACGTAGCCATCAAGGTGAAAGTGGGCTTCATCAGTCATGATTTTTCGATGAAACTCGGGATCATTTTTACGCATTTCTAGGACCCAATTAGCTGATTGGCCCGCTTGAGTTCTTATATTAACTGAACTTAGCTTCCAGACCCAAGTCTATATGCAAAATATGGTTTAAAGAACGACAAGGGTTTTCTTCAACACTTTCGGCTACAGTAGCAATGCTCTCAGTTGTTCTTGAGACGACGTACACGTGTCTTATTTTTCACAGCACTAACTATCCAACAGCTCCATTTTACCACCAATTTCTGTATTGCATTTGTTGCTGGAGCGGCTACGTTTACCCCGCTTAGGGACAGGTTAATTAATCTAAGTTGCCGAGATCATCTAACGGGAGGTCCAGAAATCGGGCTGATTCGACGTGGTTGTACCAGAGGGAGAGGAGGGTTAAATTTGTCGGTTTAAGCGGGTATTTGTAGAGGTGGTTTGTGTCGTGCGGAGACTGTCCACATGCAGGGCATACGTTGGGGTCGAGTCTGGATAGGTAAGAGTTTAACCTGCTAAGGTATCCAGACCTATGTTTTGTGTCCTGCTGGTCTCTCGAGGCAGCTCATTGTCTGCAAAAGGTGGCGCTTTTTTTCCGAGCACGCCATTCACGGCAAGGGAGGCTTTAAAGTTGTTGACTGACTCCTGATGAATGGCATTCAGTGCTTGTCTATACGCCGTCCTGTCCAGCGGCTGATTTACGTGTTGCTGGCTGATGTCCTTCATGTCAAGTACACTCTTTCTAATGTGCCTGGCTGAAAATTCGACTTCTATGAAATGTCTATTGGGTCGTTCCCTACGGTTGCATCCCAATAGGAATTGCTGCACAGCAAAGCATTATGCTCCTTAGCTCGTAGGATGGACGACATCAGGAGATTTCTTATCATGATCCTGAGGACGATGTTCTGGCAAGCCTGTAGCTTCTTCATCTGCCCAGATCCGTGCAGCATAGTTTACGACCAGCCGGTCAATTGCTTTGTAGGTTGACAGCAAGAATTCGTTGTCTTTGTCCCAGGTGGTGCCAGTTAGCGCTTTGAGTCTTTTGTTGTTTAGAGCGCTAATGTTTGGCGGCAATTGTGGTCGTATGCGGGGTGCAGGCTGTCCAATGTGACTCCCAATATCTTTGGGTTATTTATTGTCGAAACTTTTACGCCATCGACCTTCACATCTAATTTGAACCCGTACTCCTTCGTCCAGCTGGTGAAGAGGGTAGCCGAGGACTTAGTGGGTTGAAGATGTGGAGAAGTTCGGCGAGATAGCAGTTCAGTTTTGAACAAAGGTCGTCAATATCCTGGGCAGACGCCATTATCGCGCAATCATCGGCATACGAGGTTAAGGAAACTCCTTCTGATGGAGGAGGAAGTTTCGAAATGTACAAATAAACAGTAATGGGGAGAGGACAACACCCCGCCGAACCCCTTGTTTATTTTTCCGAAGTTTCACCTCGGAATACTACCGAAGATTGTCGACAACAGAGGCAACTCGTGATCCACCTCTGCAACCCCAGTGGTATTGCGGTCCGACACTATACTTCATGACAATCGAAAAATGTTTGAGCTTCTTATACCGTCTCTGCCGGGTTTCACCATTTTCTCAAGGTGCGTTCCAAAGTAAACAGGACTTTTTGAATCTAGCGCCCTCTAGAGGCGCCATCTATATGTCATGACGTTTCATCTATTGGAAGTGAAGTTATTGCGGTTTAAGTGTCAGTATGTTTTTGTCATCGATGCAAAATGATCTTCGAACAAAGAGCCATAATTAAGTTTGGTTTTAAAATTGGTAAAACTTTTACCGAAACGTTTCAATTGATAAAACAAGTTTATGGCGATGATTGCCTATCTCGTAGCAGAAAGCACGAGTGGTTTCAACGTTTTCAAAGTGGTCGGGAGGACATAAATGACGATGAACATGTGAGCCAACTAAAATCCGTGAAAAGTGAAGACAATGATGATTTGTTTTTATGATTCCAAGGGTATAGTCCACAAAGAATTTTGCCGGGTGGACCAAAACGTTAATGCGGTATTCTACCTTGGAGTTTTGAAGCGTTTGGTGCGCCGTATTCGACGTGTTCTGCCTGACTAACGCGAAGATGGAAGTTGACGTTTGTTGCACAATAATGCGCCGTCTCATCGATCGACGCTTGTGGCGGATTATCAAAAATCACATTTTAAAAATCAGCCACTCCCCTTATTCACCTGATATGGCATCGTGCGACTTCTACCTTTTCGGAAAAATGCAATCGCCGAAGAAAAGAAAGCGTTATGCATGCGTGGAAAAGTCTTGCACCAGCATACTGGCAGCCATACCGGGCAACGAGCTAAAACACTCGTTCAACATGCTTTTGGACCGTACAAGAAGCTGTACTAAAGCAGATGGAGACTATTTTGAATGAAATTAATTTATTTTGCCGATAAAATCATTTGTTCTGCCTTTTTTTAAAGTCCTGTTTTCTTCGGAACGCAGCTTGTATAGGGAATTTTTAATAATTTCAACGTTTTTCAAAATTTCAAAATAACACCTCTTATTGGAAAACCCTTCATTAACACTGTAAATGTCAAACAAAAGTAATATGCCAACACATACCAAATTGGGCCTCTCTTATATCTCAAAAATTGATGTTAAATCGGTTTACGGAGTAATGTTTTCAAAAATAAACATCATTTTGCTCTCTCTCACTGAAACCCTTGTCCCTATTGACAGAAAATTGGGACAATCAATTTTCACAGGCTTCTCTTGAGCCCAACTCTTCACCAGCCAATTCATTCGCCATAGATGGGAACGGATAGTAGTCACTTGATGAGAGGTGTGTACTATAAGCTGGATGTATAAGAACCTCTCCGCCTCCGGAGCTTCTGGCGATGAACTATGTACCTATGGTTGTGTCGTCTCGCCTTGTCCTCATGAAACACTATTCCACTACTGTTGAGCAAAGCTGAGCGCTTCTAGGCGTTTGCTTCCTTCATAATGACGAATTAAGAGTTGGGCTGCATGGGAACAGCTCTTAGTAGAGATTCCTTGGCAATCCAAACAAACACATAACTAAATCTCCGTGGGTGTCAATCCTGACTTGGAGACCATTTATGTCAACTCACTGTCCTTCGACCACGACCTTGTTCATTTAACGCTGCTATTAGTGATCCACTTTTTGTGATCAATCACCATCCACTTCGGGAATGTTTGTTACGATTCGGAGATAGAAATTTAACACCTGGGTAATGGGAAAAGTGCTGGTGCCTTGACTATCACAATAGATATTTTCATTGTTTTACGATACTACTGCTGGTAAAAGACTACTCCAAAATTTCCCTCGACAGTGGGGAGTTTTGCAGCTGCAACAACAACACATGAATATGAACTCCCTAATTGCATATAATGCTGCAAATAAAACATCTAAATTTTTTTAAAGATTTTTAATATCATTTCCAACAGCACATAAACAATTTTTCAACGATTTACTTAATTTACAGTGGTGAAGCATTTATAAAACTTGGGTCCACATCTGCAAATGCACAGAAATGCCATACATAAGCTATATTCCACATTTTCTGCAAACTTTGTTTGACAGAATCTAATTTTTAAAATATTATGCCTTTAAGAATTTCGCATGATGATCGAAATGTTCGCCAAGGAAAGTTGCAATGAAGAAGTAGCTATGATCATAGCCCTCTCGATTTTTATAAATCAATTGGAGATGGTCATTTTCCGCAGCTGCATTCAACAGATTTTCCGGTAGTAATTGTTTTTCTTTGTAAAAATTATCTTGCGATCCTTGGTCCACAAGAATCTCTAATGGATTGCCAGCATACGCAGTAGCCAATTCTGTGGCATCCCAATTTTTCCATGTCTCCTCGTTTCCACCCAAATATCCATTGAAAGCCTTCTTACCCCATGGGCAATTGATTGGATTGGATATAGGTGCAAATGCAGATACAGATTGATATACGCCAGGGTTCTTCAAAGCACAAATTAAAGCACCGTGACCACCCATGCTATGTCCAAAAATACCTCTTTTATTCGGTAATACCGGCAAGTTAGCATTTACTAATTTAGGCAATTCTTGAGTAACATATGAGTACATCTTATAGTTTTTAGACCAAGGAGCTTCAGTTGCATCCACATAAAAGCCAGCACCGCTGCCAAAGTCCCAATGATCATCTTCGCCAGGTAGGTTCAAGCCACGGGGCGATGTGTCTGGATTAACTACAACAATCCCATGTTTTGCGGCATGTTGTTGAAAACACGATTTTTGAATAAAGTTGTCTTGTGTGCATGTGAGACCACTGAGGAAATATAGAACAGGGCACTCGGCATGATCTTCAACTGCAGAGGGAGGCATGTAGACTCCAAATTTCATTTCACATCCCAAAACCTCAGATGCATGCGAATAAATCCGCTGCTCACCACCGAAACACTTTACACTGGACAGAAGTTTCATGGCCATCTTTGTTGTTAAAGAAAGAAATTTTATGGAATTTAATATATAAATGTAGCTATTTACTTGCAAAATACCAACTGACCTTGCAACTCAAAATTTTGATAAACCTCATAAAGTTATCAATGGCCTACCGGTAAAATGAACGAAGAACGGAATGAATACAAAATGAACTCAAACTCAAAGAGATGCCAGACCGAGAAACCGAAGAACTGAAGTCGAATGCAGATAGAGCTAAATTGATTACCTGACATTTCTCATTTGCAAGCTAAACGAAACCATATATCTTTTGAACAGATTTTCCGACACAACGGTTTCAATAGCAATGGTTAGAGCTCAAAAGAAAAAAGTGATAAAACTAGTGACAGATAGTAGTCTTTGAGTTCCGTGACATTTTAAGCAGCATACCAAGTTAAAGTAACGATTTAAATATTTTTAACTAAGTGCTCGTGTATCAATTGAACTTGTTTTGAAGTTTTTTTTAGAGAAAATAAATGGAGAAAAATAGGTAAATATCCAATGCGCGGATAAAATATTGTTACGATTTTACTTATTCAAAATCAATGATTTCCTTAATCGTTCGGGTACATTCTCTGGATTGTTAAATAAAACTCGCCAACTTATTAAGCAGTTTCTTTCGTTACAAAGAATTTATCTAATGACCTTTATTTACTCAGTAATTCACAATTCAATTACAATGCACTTTACTAGCTACAATCACTTGCATAAACTTTCACAATGATCTCTACTTAAATGTAATCTACAACGCGTTTACTTTACGACTTAAATAGTTTATTCCGCTATACTCTATGTTGTTGCAAACGAGTTCACTTTGTAATTAACTTGACTTGGCAGCTGAGTGTCGCCCTTTTATAGCAGTCGGTTGCTCGTAGACGAAAGTGTAGAATAACCGAGTTGTTCGCTATCGAAGGTTCTCGTTTTATTTGTAAGCAAACCAAGCACTCACATTCATCAGAGAGATTGGAGGCATATAAAAACTTGTTTGATTTATAACGATTTGTTTAAAAAATTAATACATATTTTTTTTAAGGAAAAAAGTGATAAATTGATAATCTACCCGTGTGTTAATTTCTCAGCAATATACAAAATTCAAGACCTGAAAAGTAACCCTGTGACGATTGCACTTTAATTATAGGCTGGCAGTGCCAGCTCATGAGAAACAGCTGATGAACGCGCTCAAATTTTGCAACACATAAACAAATTAGAGCAAAAGTTAAAAATAAAGTTTGAATTTGCTTATATTTATAAATAAAATATTTAACAATGTCTGAAGGGGCCAGCAGCAGTACATCCGCTTTTGGTTTTAAAAAACGAAATATACGTAATCAAACAAGTCTTCGTCGTAAACAAAGTAGCAGCTCAGAATCTGGTTAGTAAATAAAAAGTTAATATGTTTGACCTAATCGTTTCTAAAACGTTTACAATGTCCATTCCTGCAGGAAAAAGTAGTGAAGGAGAAAATATTTCAGCAGTTGTTCGTGGGGATAACCATCGTAAACGCTTAAATCCGAACTTTCAAAGTACAAAACAAATAGCCCATAAACGTGAACGTAAAGATGAAACCTCTTCTAGTAGCAGCAATGAAGATGATGATAACAAAGTGACTGTTTCCTACAGATCAAAAAAGAGTGCATTACCAAGTGGACCACAAGATCAAGGAGCTACTTCGATAAATGAGACTGACACTGCACAGGATCGTGATGCGCAAGCATTGCATGAAAAATCGTTACAGATAAATAAAGAACTAGAAGGAAAGGCAGATGACAAGGTGTACCGTGGCATTAATAATTATGCACAATACTATAAAAAAGAAGGTACAGCACAAGGCAATGCCAGCTCGGGAATGGTGAGAAAAGGTCCCATGCGTGCACCGGCTCATTTGCGTGCTACTGTACGCTGGGACTACCAACCGGATATTTGCAAGGATTACAAGGAGACAGGCTATTGTGGTTTCGGTGACAGTTGTAAATTCTTACATGATCGTAGCGATTACAAAGCCGGTTGGCAACTGGAGCTTGATCATGCTGCTCAGCAACGTGGTGAAATAGAGTCCGATGAGGATGATGCTAAGTATGAAATTCATTCTGACGAAGAAACATTGCCGTTCAAATGTTTTATATGCCGGAATAGCTTCGAAAATCCCGTAGTGACAAAGTAAGTTCATTCAAAAATTTAATTTATCACATAAAAACGTGAGACATTTACATTGTTTTTCAGGTGCAAACATTACTTTTGCGAAAAATGCGCTTTGGAAAACTACAAAAAGTCACAACGCTGTTTTGTTTGCTCACAACAGACAAATGGTATTTTTAATCCTGCCAAAGAATTAATAGCACGTTTAAAGAATGAACACGAAGGTGGCCAATGTCCTTCGTCGGATAGTGAATAGATTTAAGATGCAAAATAGTTATATTGTTCTTAACTAGTTAACATATGCTGCAGGATGTTTTTAATTATTAGCTATTTACAAAACATTAATACATGTTTAATTTTTTTGACAACTATTATAACCAACAAAGAAAGAAAAGTAGAATTTTGAGGTTATGAAATATTTTTCACAACCAAACGATTTACTAGCATTTTGGAACGTATGATCAAAACTTCGGAGTTTTTCTTAAGTTAAGCGCGGTCCATAAAGAAGAGTTCAAATATCATCATGTAAGTTGTTAAGCAAGTTAAATATGATATAGCAGGCTCGATGTTGGATATTATTGCTTGTAGGCGTTGTGTACTGTGCGAAATGACTATAAAATCTAATAGTAAAACGATTGCTTGTGAGCGTATACATAAGCCAATCGTTGTTGCTTCATTTAATATCTGCATTTGAGTTTAAATGTCTACGAAGAGCAATTACAAGGCCTGTCCAATGAAAAACGATACTGAGTTCTTGGGTTCACTCTTCTCATATTATATTATATATTACAAAAGGGTATTCATATGCTGTAAAGCTGTAGGACCATAAATACTGGAATTGTCAACATCTTAGTGTTTCGTTAATTGAATATCATACAAAAATGTTGTACTTATTTATATTGTACATACATTTATATATAGATAAGTGTGCGAATCCGGCGCCAACATACCAATCGTAATTTGAAATTGTAACCGAGATGGTGTTTGACTTTAACTACGGGGTGGACAAGGAAGAGATCTTCCGCGAAATATCCCCAAATGAGTTGAGACTGATCGACTTCGTCGGGCCCCGAAATATGATAGTTTGTAGCCCCAGATTCCATCACAAGAAAATTCAACAAGCCACCAGGTTATGCCCAAATCGAAAAATTGGACTCAGACCACTGTTCTGCAGCAGCGAAGATACGCACCCGCCTCTATGTACCAAAGTACACTTTCAAAACTACCCAGTAAGGATCTTCGCGGTGTAGAGGAGTCTGACTCCGCTGGGTATTTAGCATTAACCGCCAAAGTCTTGTATCCTATCACAAGTAACGTATCTATTTATTTACTCTCGTTGCTCTGCCCAATCCACAAAAAGGGCGATCCCACAGTCTGCGCCAATTACCGTATTGTGTGAAAGACCCACCATCAACACACTGATTGGACTTTATCAGTGTGGCCTTAGACCTGGTAAATCAACCATTGCCCAGATATTCACCATGCGCCAAATCTTGGAAAATACCCGTGAAAAGAGGATCTATAAATACCAACGCTTCGTCGACTTTAAAGCAGCCTTCGGCAGAATGAAAACGAGCTGCCTCTACGCCGTTATGTGTGAATTGGGTATTCCCGGAAAATTTATACGACTATGTAAACTGACCTTAAGCAACACTATAAGCTCCATCAAGATTGGGAAAAACCTCTTCGAACCGTTTGATACCAAACGAGGTGTCAGACAGGGTGACCCCTTATCATGCGACTTTTTTAACTTATTGCTGTAGAAAATTATACGAACTGCAGAACTGAATAGGGAAAGTACATTATTGGCTTCAACAGCTGTGCCGTTAGTTCTGCTTTCTCCAAACTAGATAAGAAAGTGAAGAATATGAGTCTGGTAATAGTGAATACCGCAGCTGATGGAATGATGAGCTGTATGAGATATACGGCGACATTAACATAGTTCAGCGATTCAAGAAACGTCGGCTAGGTTATGGGGTCCGAATAGAGACGAATACTCCAGCTTTGAAAGTCTTCGATGCAGTATCCGCTGATGGAAGCAGAAGAAGAAGAAGACCTCCACTGTGTATAAATGACCAGGTGCAAAAGAGCCTGGGTGTACTTGTTATTTCCGAAACGAATGGTGCAATGTCATTAATTCGGCTATAATCGCGTAAACCAGTTTCTCTGTAAAAATTACTGTTATTCGTTCGCCCTTTAGTTGGCTATAAACTTGCGAAACGATTTTTTCAACTTAATCTGGCGTTAATTTATATAGATTCCGAAACACCGTTACTTTCGTGTGGAAAAAATATTCCACTCTTCGTAGCAAACTTCCATCCAATGATGAAGGGTACGATATCTCTTCATCTTGGAGTAGAGCGAATAGTGAAATCGTTAAAATTATCACTAATTTATGTTGACTATTCGAAAATCGTTAAAATATAAATAATACTGAACTCCACCACAGGGCGGAAGCTGAACACAAATATTTTCGACAAGCTAACGATTTTACAAAATGTAAGAATGTATGTAGCAATGTACCGTGAAGCATTTGTAATGATGGGTCGATCGGGCGGAGGGTAAGACGCAGGCAACTCAAATCATGCACGTAGTGCATACAATTTGATGTAGACAAATAGACGGATGCCAAGTCAAATAAACGAATCGATAGACAGTTGCAGTAGGAAAAAGTGGAAGTCAAAAGAAAATAAGAAAGATGGGCTATCTTCGGCAATGCCGAGGTCGTTATATCTTACACGACAATGTAAAATTTATTGCAAAATGCAACGTTCGATTTTGATGCTTTCACATGCTTTTCTGGCAGAATTTCGAAAAAAAAAATATATTTTAACGCAGTATAAAAATTCATATGAAGTCTAAATTTGCTTGAGTGATCTCGAAACCTGAGAGGGCTCGTTAGCGTCCAAACAGACGGAAAGCTTATCTTTCTGATTTTGGTGCGTCTATATCGACTCCCTCTGGTATGTTCATGAAAGGCATACCAATTTGAGAAGTAAAAAAAAAAATCAATATATTGGATATCAGCTTGCAATAACGGGGAATTGCAGTTTGTGTTATCGATGTGCAACATACACATAAGTACATATGTACATATATATACATTTAATTACATATGCATATGTATGAGTTTATGCTCGTCGAAACGCAATGAAATCTTATAAGCAAGCAGCATAGATTTAGTGCATGCTCACATACATACATACGAATATATTTGGCCATACATACTAAATACGTATGTGTGTCTGCGCTTCCAAGTTGATAATAATTCTTAGAAATTGCTTTAAGCACATCCTGCACGCTTTCGATACAAAGTAGCTTAGACAATGGAATTCGATGCATGGAAAATAGAAATGGTACAACGGTGTTTCGAGCAGATTACAGACAGGTAGGAGATTTGCAAGTGCAGACGACGGAAAACTAACCCCAATTTTAATGCCTAACTGTTTTATGCAGATAACTGTATTATTATTTTTTTTTTTTAATTCTTAATAATTTTATTTCTTCAAAAATTACAAATCGGTCAAAGTGTAGGTTGTGGTGGCTACCGTTTCATCGCACCGATTTCACTTAAGCCTGACCATTTGACCTGACTCTCAGACTTCATTATCCAGCCATTTTGAGTCTATAATCAACCACATTAGATTCAGGACTTTGACTCGGCTGCCTTCAATAGACCATCCAGCAGTAGGATCTTAATGATCCGAAACCCAGCTCTGGCCAAAGCAGATAGTTGCATAAGAAATGGGTAGCGGTTTCCTCGACGTCATCATCTTTTCAACTTTTGCAGCATCTTCTATATGAAGCCCCCAGTCTTTTCGTGTGTCCGCGTGTCAGACAGTGGCCTGTCAGTGTTGGACATGGAGTAAATATATACCTTGCTATGCCATTTCGGCCAGAAGCACATAGATTTGCGACAGGTTGTAGTATTATTCCACGGCAGTTTGTTCATATTTTTATTTTATCGAGAAGAATCTGCTTGATCTTACCTTGTCCTGCAAATTTCCCTTGATGTCCATGTGCCCAGGAACTTACGTGCGAGACAGTCTGTTCCGTTTGGCCATCTTCTGTAGAGACAGTCCAGCTCTAAAGCATAATTTAGTGTAAGATAGCCAGCGCATTTTTTGTCTTCTGGGTGTCGTGAATATATCCTTATATTTAAAGCTGAATCCGATTTCTTTTGATAGCCATCATAGCAGATAACTCCGCCTGGAAAACACTGCAATAGCCAATTGGTCTGAAAGTGAGTTCCAGCAGAGGGTTCCCCGTGAAGACATATCCACCAACTCTCCCCTCAAGCTTTGATCCGTCCGTGTATATTTTCGGGCTGTCACCTGGGGTGTGGAGATAATTTTCTACCCATTCTTCCATGCTGGGAATTGGTGTTCTAAATTACAATTAACTATATACAAAATACAGACATCAGCCTGGAAGTCCAATTTAGATTTACTTTTGCCAACCAGTGCTACTTTGGACAGGGTAGATAAATGAAAAGTTAAATCCTCTCTCGCCGAGCAAAGAGCAAACTCTATAAGTCCTTTGTCATTGTCGTCCTACTTTATGGTGTACAAGTGTGGACATTGAACACATTCAATGAGTCAGCTTTCCGCCTCTTCAAAAGATAGATTTTGCGGAAGGTATGTGGTTCTCTGCGTATGGCGTCATCTTGCGTCAATTCTGCTTCATTGGCAGAACTAGGCTAAAGAAGTTATTAACCCTTGAAATTTATCACTGGGTAATGTGTGCCAAAATTACATAATGCTGGCTGGTATTACAGTTATCTGTAAGTCACCATACGTGTCTTGAATCAATGCTTGATTCTGTGTCAATGGTTGAAGCAACCAAAATCCCTAAGGATGATATCCATCGGTGTACATATGTATGTAGCAATATCCATGCTATTGCGTTTGTGTGTTGTTCCCTTAGTGCATTCTGTTGCACCGTCGGCGAGGAAAACAATGTCAACTGCATACTTACCTCCCGCACTGCTTTCTATAGACGACAGCCAATAGTTGCTCCTCGCTTGCTTCTCGGTTTTCATTTGATACTTTGTAGTTGGGTTGACTTGAAGTCTCCGGAGCGTTTGAGGCGATGAATTGTTAAAGGAAGACTTTCACTTCCTGCATTACAAAGCGAATTGACCAAGAATGATATTATTTGCATATAACTGGTTTTAGAGTTCCTTTTGGGGTAACAGGGTGATTTGAAAGGTGAACGTTTTGCTATTAAAATTTTAAGTGAAATTTGATGACTTCTTCAAAATTACTTCAATTCAATGGAGTTGGCTGGTTGTGATGATTGGGGCTCGACTGTAGAAATTGAAATGTTGGACATAAATAAATGTATGTCTTCTCTTACCTAATAACTCACCCTATATATAATACTTAAGTATAAATGAATGTATGAGCCAGTGAAATTCTCTTTACAGTGCGTAAATTCGACTTCTCGTATAAATTTAAATTTAGAT